TCCCTCTTGTTTTTCAATTTTGAATAAAGATTTAAACTTCCTGCGATATCTGGAATCTGAAATGCCCACCAGCGTGGCCAAATTCGCGCTAGTTTTCAGACTATGGCCTCACATACTGCACAATCGAAGATCTCATTCCTGAGCTCTATTAAGTCGTTTTCTCCGCGGTTTTCGCGAGTTCTGTTCATAAAGGTGGCCGAGCAAGGCTCAATGAAGCTTACTTGCCGCTGTAAGGTGGCTAAGTGAGGCGCCTGCCCAAACATGAACACTTATACTATTTTGTACAAGAGAAACACAGTCCGGCAAACCCCTTAAACCCCGCATTTTTGTTGCCAAACACTAACGAGAGGTGAGTTCTTTTGACAGTAAAATGTGTCTTTTGAGGATAACAGATTTGAGTCCTTTGTCAGAGTACATTATATTTTTTTCTAACTTGAATACCGAAACCGTGGTACCCTCTTTGAGTTCGGTCTCACTGACTCGCAGACTGGGTGTTAAGGGTTTATAAATCAACAAAAAGTAATACAATGAAGCAAAACTGAAACCTCATTAGCTTGCCAAATGGAAAGCAACAATAATCCTTACATTATTTTATTACGTCATCTAATACACGTGAAGATATTTTGCAAGAAATAAAAAAGAAGTTAAACAATTATCACAACTCACTATGACTTTCACACAGTCTTCACTACCGATATTTAAGTAATGAGGTTTTAGTTATATATACGTAGAGAGAACTGAGGCTGGGTCTACTGTATATATGCATATACAAACACACTAAACTTAAATACGCCGGCTACAGAGAACACATGAGAAAGTTTACTTTTGCTGAAGCTAGCTAAGGAACTTGCCGAGTTCCTACTGCGTAATTGTGATCACTGCATGCAAGCAGAGGCTTCATTCACTGATAACCTAAGCCTTTTAGGTTCTAAAGGATTTGAGAAAACATCTTTTGACTTTCAGTGCAAATCACTGTAATCCTATCAAAAGCCTCGGCCGTCTTGGCGCGCGGCTAGGTGCATGAGATCCTGTGTAAGCCTACAGAGATACGCCTAAGCTGGATATAATCACAGAAGGTCTACATTGAAGCCAAATAGCAGTTAGTACGGATTGATAGAACAACCGCGCAAGATCTGCTCGTCATATTTCAGGTCCGCTGACAGAGTTGCCACCAGTATCCTCGCGCTCGTTTACGCTGTAACCAACGCTTCCATGCGGGAGTCCCTACAATATTCTTTGGCAAACTTCTTTCAAGAAGAAATAAGATAAGTCCGACTTCGGCATTATATGTATATATATATATTAAAAGATTTGTTTTGGTAAAATCACGTGGTATTGGAAGTGGAAAACAACCTATAGGGGGCGCAATAAATTAAGAATCTTAAGACGCCAAAAACAAGACTTTCGGCAATGAGCAAGTAAATAAGTAATATTAGAACATTTCTATAAGAATAGACTACGATTCCAACTTCTGCTATGCGTTTCATTAACTAGTTGATATGAATAACATAATTTGATGACTTATACAGTTAATAATGTATATTAAATGATGTTAGTAATTTTCGGTATTATGAAAACCTGTTGTTTTTTATTAAATCACCTAGAAATGTTTTGATTTATACATACGTATATATATATCTTTCTAAAATATGTTCTTATTTTAAAATTAACGCATTCAAAGAAATATGCTCATAAATGACTTTTAATGGATTACTTCTAAAGAAATTTATATTGAATAAGTGTACGGTACACGTTTCAGTCAAAATAGAACATTTACATATATGGAGTAAACTCAAGAATTGAAAGAAGCATTGTTTGTTTCCATATATTTATATACACATAACCTATATTAAGATGACTGTTATGTTATTTTTGTGATCTAAATTAGGGGTGTAGCGAAGGGTAGATTTTGACCTTTGAAAGTTTGGAACACATCACCAAAGGAGGTTTAAAAAATTATAGTACTAATTTGCATAATTGACTGATTTAATAGAAAGAGGGCGTAATAACAGTACCTCCTCACCCCCCATCCACCCTTGGATAGCTGTGAAATAAAACCTACGTTCGAAGGGATCTTAAATGTGTATATAATACTGTACTAAATTATTATGGTTACAGCAAATATAATATATAAATAAAAAATAATTAATCTAATAACTTCATTGCAGTACATACGTGACTTATATAGATATATTCTAATGCGAACTGTGAAGATTTTCCTCAACGTCAAACATCTATGTCTTTCGCGTTTGTCAAGTCCCTTCCTTCCGCACGAGCTCTTCTGAAGCCCAGGGAAAAAGAGAAGGATTTGTTATCAATATGAGACAAGATTGTGATTATCTCTTCAGAGGATGGATTCTTTCCCAGCTACACCTGAGGCCCAGTTTGTCTGCGAATTTGAACCGGTTCGTATGCTCACCGTACCGGCAAACTTTCCTGAAAACTCTGCAAAGGATATACACGAGTTTCGTTGGGAAAACTGCAGTTTTTTGTTTGTTTTTCCGTTTACGGCATAACCTCGCACACACTTCAGACCAGGAAATGTGCAGTTCCTGATCACAATTTTTCTCCTCGTCTCCTCAAACTTACAAAAAAACAACTAACACAAAGGAATAAAATGTCCAAGTACAAAATAAAATTAGAAAAGTGAAACTTTAATTTAGTAATAGAGTTTGTTTTGTTTTATCTACCGGCAAATTCCTGTGAAATCTTTCGTTTTATCTACTGGAAGCTTCCCCTGAAATCTGTAAGGACAATTGTTCTTTATATATTCAATTTTTTTTATATCTTTCATCTGAAGTTCGAGAAGAAAATCATTTTTATTAGTTGGTAGTTAAGCAGATCCAAAATGTTTAATAGCTCACTGATTTGTTTCTACGATCTTGGTTTGTGTCGCCCATGCATATAGTGAAGGAGGGCTCCAGATCTATAAATCGTTGCAATAAGTTTTAACCGAACAATTTCGAAGACATACATATAGAAATGATATTATACTGTTCTTCGAGCATTTTTTTTTAAAACTATACTCCCCCGAACGTATAGATGTTTAGTCATGCTGAAGATTACAGAATGTGAAAGTGTATACATACATCACTAATTTTTAACTGATTATTAATAATTGAAGTAGTGCTTCGTTAGAGATTTTCTTGGTATTTCTAAAACATTAGTGATTTTTACATGCTCGCGTTACTAAAACTTAGTTCGCAAATTCTGTAGAACTAAAACGCTAAGTCTCAAAATAATCCATATTTTTGTACTAAAACATATCTGAAACATTTTTCACCTTTGTGAACTTTCGAATAACAATATTTTCAAAAAGAAATTGTTAGTTATAAAAAATTATACGCTTCAGTTATCAGCCTTATAAGCTGGAAATGCAGCACGAAAATAATATTAATTAAGAATTTAAAGATACAAAAGTGTAAAAAAATAAAATAAATCAGAGTTCCCTATTAAACAGCCTGGTAAGAAAGTTGTTTACTGTTGTATACAACACTACACTGATAGCATGAAAAGGTTAGCAGCGAGTTAGCTTAAGAAGTTGTCGTTCAATTAAATTATAAAATTCTGCCTTACATTTAGTGATATTCGTCTGTGGTCTTAACCTTGCATCATTTTGATTGTGAAGACAGCGAATAGTTACATATTAGTATTTACAACATATTAATATGATTAGTATTAACTCGTGAATCAAAAACTGTGTTAAAAGAAATATATATATATCAGTATTTAGAATTATCTATAGGGCGCAAAATATGAAATGAATCCATACTTCTAAATATCTCAATCGTAGTTCCATTTGTTTTTAATACATATAAATCTAACTTTATAATTACTTCAGAAAAAAGATTGTCATTTGGGAAAAAAGTACTATGTTTTTTTAAACAAATTCTTTCTAAAAGGCCCCAGTGGCTCAGAAGTAATTCTTTGGGACTATAACGCTAAAAAACGGGTTTCGATACCCGTGTTGGATACAGTACAAACAGCCCATTGTGTGGCTTTGTGCTTGAAGACAAACAAATAAACAAACTTTTTTTTTAAATTATTTGAATGGTCAATTAATCGTTGTGTCACAGACAGTCTTTTCCTGTCTCCATCTTAGTGTCTCGTTATTTTTGAGGTTATTCGTGAGGTAAGTATTCCCAAAATATCGTGCAGACTAGAAAACACACATCACAACAGTTAATGAGTAAAAATTAAACCTTAACAGTCATTAACTTTATGAGTTATATGTAATGATCATTGGAGCATGGAAGGAGGGATGACCTATATCTTTATATCATAGTTTTTTTCTGAAATGCCTTTTGAAAACAGTTATTGCAGAACACTGCAATTTTCCGTTTATTCATCCCATCTATCTATCTCTAAGCCTTCCAAGAATCCGAGTTTCGATACCCATGGTGGGCAGAGCACAGATAGCCCATTGTGTAGCTTTGTGCTTAACTTCAAACAACAACTAATTACTCATCTTAATGTTATAAATATACACTTTTAAGTACAGAAGTACATTCCAGGGAAGGAGGGGGATTAGGCCATACTTTATTGCTAGGTAAATATTAGATGATCTGTTTAAAATTCAAAATAATTTTCCCTTCTTTTACTTCTCACCGAGCATATTTTTAAAGAGGAATACTAAATGAAACTCATGTAAAAAAACGTACGTAAAGTCATTTTCTACACTTTAAATTTAATAGCTACTTCAGATCTGAAACAGTGTGAGTTTTCACTCTAATATACAAACCTTTCTGGAGAAATAAATACGGCCATATCACGGAACTACACTTGAGTCGGGGCGGAACTATACCGTCGCCTTGTTTTGCATTTCATAATGCTGATTGGTCAATAGGGAGGTTGTCGTAAAAGGTGGGCTGCACCCAGATGAATCAATGTGTGACGTCAGCTTTTGTCAAAAAATAGGCGGAGTTGGGAGCTCAAACCAAACTGGGGAAGCGGAGTGGCCTCTGGCCTGCGCACTAACTTATATGTGGCGGGAAATGACCAACACAAGAAGGTAGTTTTAGCAAGGCGCTTGAGTGCAGGAGCAACATACCGTGAATGAACTCTTGCTGCATTCCTCTCACGCGCTTTACTGGACTTAGTCTTCAAAGCAGTCAGAGGAGCAAGTCCACCCGAGTCATTTTTGTAGCTTAAAGGACGAGCCCTAAAGTTGAAAGAGAATCCTTCAGCATCAGAGGGCTTGGCCACTGATCTCGGCGCGTGCACCTTGCTCAATGTTCCCAAGTTCAGGCAAATACTGATGAATCTTGACAGTCTGTGATTCAAATCCCTTTTGATCGGACGTTGAGATTAGGCGCCACAGTCAGCCATAGCTCAAGGCGCGCTCGCAGGCTTAACCAACCACCAGTCTTTCGAAGCTTCTGTAATCCGCAGTAATTGCTAGATGGACTCATTAAACGAATCCTTGTGCCTGCAAGACCTGGTGGCTGGCGTTGCTTCGCCTCACCACGTCGTTCACGACACTACTGCTATGCCGGTGATTGCCACGTCCCATCCTGCGGCTATGGGCCCGGTAACACCGTTGGCCCAGGTATCAGCCGTCCCGGTATCGGTTCCCCCCTCGGTGTCAGTCCACGGGCTGCATGCGAGCCAGCTCTCCGTGTCTGGACTCTCTTCCCACCGGCACAGTATTCATGAAAACGCCAGCACCCCCTGCTCCAGCAGCCCTAGTATCAGACATGACTTAGGTGTGGAACACAAAAAGCGAGGTAAGGAAGGCTAAGAGAAATTCAAAAAAAATACAATGAATACTTGTATATGTTTAAATATAAACCACAGAATAAAGCCGCCAAAATAGTAAATATGTTTTAACGTTAATTTTTAATGTGGTATGTGTAAGTAAGCACCACATTCATTTAAAAAAATACTCATACTATTCCCAAATATTTTGTATTATCCATCAAAATACTCTGAAGAAGCTCTTAGTAACAAAATATTTATAACATTTTTTTCATCATTTACAGTAATATATGTAACAGATAATATATCTATATATAATAATGTTATATAAAAAGTATCAGCATCAAACTGTGATGTGTCATTATACACAGTAATGATACGTAGAACACTTACGTTGCAACAATAATGTATGTATAACACTTTATATTTATTAATAACAGGATATTGTCTATGCAACAATGTTGCATAACATGTCATATGTAACGTCGATATATAAAATACAACAGTGATATATATATATATATATATGTAGTGAAATATAGTCTCAACACAATATTGTAATTCAGGATAGTTTTGAATGAGTCTTGACGATAGTCTCAACACAATATTGTAATTCAGGATAGTTTTGAATGAGTCTTGACGATAGTTTCAACACAATATTGTAATTCAGGATAGTTTTGAATGAGTCTTGACGATAGTTTCAACACAATATTGTAATTCAGGATAGTTTTGAATGAGTCTTCACGATAGTTTCAACACAATATTGTAATTCAGGATAGTTTTGAATGAGTCTTGACGATAGTTTGTGCATTAAAAAATGAATATTATTGACATGTAGATTGTATTTTATGTAGACGCAATAAAACTAATATTAAGTTTATTGAACGCATATTATTAGTTGCTGCGTTAATTTTTTATTGCTTGTTTGTTGTTGTTGTTAATCACAATGAGCTATCTGTGCTGTGCTCACCACGGATATCAAAACCCGGTATTTAGCGTTATAATCCCTAAGACTTACCGTAAAGCCACTGAGGGGAGCGAGTTTAATTTAGACCAATGTTTTAATTATATAACTGACTGACAACGTAAATATCTAATGCACAGAAAAATAAATAACGTAAGTAAAGGAATCAAACCTGGAGCCCACAATAATCAATCGAAATAACGTGCACTGATCACGTTAGAAATGACAATTACAGTAAAACATTTTGAGTAAGGATTCCTAAGAATAATTTCCACACTTTGGAAAACCACATTTCATAAATTTGAACACACACAATAAAGTTGGGGAGAAAATGTATCGTTCTTTAGGTTAATTCCACATTTTAGAAAATCACATTTCCTAAATTTGAACACACACACAATAAAGTTGGGGAGAAAATGTATCGTTCTTAAGGTTAATTTCAACACTTTAGAAAACCACATTTCATAAATTTAAACACACACACACAATAAAGTTGGGAAGAAAATGTATCGTTCTTTAGGTTAATTTCAACACTTTAGAAAACCACATTTCCTAAATTTGAACACACACACACAATAAAGTTCGGGAGGAAATGTGTCGTTCTTAAGGTTCATTTCAAGGTTAACTTTATATTTATTCTCTAAGCAAGTTCTTACACTTTCATTTCATAAATATAAGCGGTGAAATAGTTGTGGCATGTGATACAAATTCTCAATGTTTTAAAAACCTTAAGAAATATTAAGCCTTGTTTTCGCAATCAGAATGATGTTTTTACATTGCATCATTGTCTGTGCGTAACAAGTTTATTATCAATTGGCATATCTAAGAAATGCCACCAAAAGATCAAAGAAATCCCCCTCCCCTTTTAAGTAGGTTATAGTTATCTATGTAAACAACACGTACTGAGTATAAACTTTGCCCGTCTCTAACCACGGGCAATCCGATGACATCTCGGTGCCTGGCTAGTGACCCTTGCCTCATAATGGACAGTGGTCAGCTGATACAGGTAGGTAGAAAACGATTATATACATTCAGAGCTATCCCGGACAGCATTCCCTCCCCTAGTATTATTTGACTTAATTAACATTTAGCTTAATTACTGTATTTAGGAACAACAAAATAGATGTATTTTTAATCATAGCAAATCAAACTGTCTTGAGCTTTACCTTCGACCCTAGCACGATAGAACTTAAATATGCACCTTAAAGAAATTAAAACCGAAATTGAATTAATAGGCTTATCTCAACTCTGGGTTCTTGAAATATATTTTCACCGAAGTTTAAAATATATGAGATACATTTGTCAAACAAGTATTGCAGCATTCATATGGTAAACGCTCATTTTAATTGCTCATATAGTATTTAAACTATATATATACATGTATAGTTTCACTTTCCTATCTCTAGCAACTAGATAAAACTATAGGTGACAATTTATAGTTTTACGCTGTGATGTGTAAAAACTATATACAAGTAATGGCCAACCGAAAGTAATCCGTGAATCACACGTGCGGCCCTCAAACAACCTTAAGGGGTGCAATACCCCTTTACTAGTCCTAAGCTATAAATCATACATTTGAATAAAAATTAGCTATATATATATAACATATTAAAGTTGTAAAAACTCTTTCTGCTGGTGCTTTCAAAACATATACTATGCAAAGAATATGTAATCAAAGTTTATGTTTTGAGTTCCTAGCGCCTGAACTCAACCTGCTGTCATCACTTACAGATAGCAATCACTCTTGCGTTCCATTTGTATTGTAGTGGTAAGTGATTCATTTTGACTTCTTAGGGTACAGGTTAACGACTGCTATATAGTTTCTCTCTATTTTCTGACGTATTGAAACTACTTAATTTACTCTAACACTGAGGTATTCACATTATATGTATATTCAGTCCAATAGTATATTTTGCAACATTCATAGCATTAAAATTATTTGACATATGACGAATTTCTAATATTATTATAAGCTAGAAATTTAAAACAACACTTTTAAAAACATATATATAATTTAATTTTTGGTATCTCGTTTTTGATACTATACATTTCACCAGTTTGTATCACCTACAGTTTCAGATCTTATACTGGTAAAGTTTCTCCAACAGTTTACCCCAATTGTTTAAATTAAAAGTTTCTAGGTCGTGTTTCTTTAGTTGACTACAACATTTCAAATATCTGTAAAAGTTATAAGTTTCTATTTTATGTTTCTTTAGTTGTCTCCAACATTTCAAATGCCTATGCACGTTACAAGTTTCTGTCTTGTATTTCTTTAGTTGTCCCCCAATAATTCAAATAACCCTATAAGTTACAAGTTTCTATATTTTGTGTTTCTTTAGTTGTCCCTATATATATATACAACTTAAATATTTCTGTAAGTTACAAGTTTCTTTTTTGTGTTTCTTTAGTCGTCCCAAACAATTCAAATATCCCTATAAATTACAAGTTTATATATTTTGTGTTTATTTAGTTGTCCTCAATAATTCAAATATCCTTGTAAGTTACAAGTTTCTATTTTGTGTTTCTTCAATTTTCCCAACACTCCACCTACTCAATATCATTTATAAACTACCATCTAGTTTTTCTCTGTTTTCCAGATTACCTTATACTTAAGTAACAAGTTGCTGTCTATGATTTTTATCGCTTCAATTACTTCGTTTGTGATATAGTTGTTATTTTTACCCTTGTATTACTTTATGTTGTTTCAAAATCTTTAACTACTTGAAATAAGATACAATCTTTTACTTCAAGCTTCTTAGACTGTCCCCATCACTTCAATTACTCCCTATAAGTTTCTGTCCTGTATTTTACACCAATGATCTTTGTACTCACTTGTTGATGCTTTTATTGTGAAATTCTTTTTCGAGCGTGATGTTCGTAATACTTGTTCCTTTTCATCATTTCCACATAAAGTTATCATTCTTTTGCATTGTTATTTTTCCCAAATGTACTTTTGTTTACAGTTAATAAATTATTGAATTATGTAAATAATAAGGAAATATTTTAAAGTACTCCACAGAAGACAATATAGTTTATATTACTCTCTCCAACAATCCTTCTTCTTTTATCCCTTTATTTAAAAAGTTTCATATTTTGTTGGATCACTACTTACTCATTTTTATTTTTTGAGACTTCATTACTTATTTTTTCTGCTTCGTGTAAACATTTCGCCAGGGGGTGTGACGAAGTGCTAGTAAACTGCTTGATAATATTAAACACGTGAATCAGTTGCAGCTTGAGTTTAGGAAAGTAAATTATCTGTAATACAAGCTTTGTTGTTATAAACACCGTAGCCTAGTAATTTACTATGTTTGTTTTGTTATCGTTTCTCCGCTGAGCTGGATAGCTGAGACTCAAAACTCTCTATTTTGTACTACTCCTGTTTAATTCATCGAATTTTATTTTTGTTTAGCTGACTAAAAATAATGCGCAATTTCTAAAATTTTATTTTTAACGCTTTTTGATGTCCTTAGCTAAGCTTAATTGTTTAGAAAAATAACAATATAATCACGTTGTTTAAGAAGTAGATGTGGCCGTGAGAATATTACTAAAAGAAGTATAATAGAATAAAGTCACAAATCTTGTTTTATCAATAGTTTATCTGTTTATTATTAAACCAGAGTATATTATCAATGTTGCAGTATCTATTTCACACATGCAGTAAAAGGTAAGTGAATGTATGGAGAGTTACAAGTCTTCTGTATACAGTGCAGCACAGTCGTTAATAAACAAGAGGATTGTTAGTAAATCAAAGAAGTTTGATGTATCAATTCACACATGCAGTAAAAGGTAAGTGAATGTATGGAGAGTTACAAGTCTTCTGTATACAGTGCAGCACAGTCGTTAATAAACAAGAGGATTGTTAGTAAATCAAAGAAGTTTGATGTATCAATTCACACATGCAGTAAAAGGTAAGTGAATGT